CCTTGTTTAGCTTAATTCTTCTTTTTTGTTATCAGTACTACTTTTATTAGCTAATTCTCTATTGTTTTCCTGAACATTTTTTACTTTATCGTCCTACTTTTTAAATAATAACTCCTCATTCTTAGTCTGTGCTGTCCTCTCATGGCCACACATACAGTGAGCGACTTATGCAGATCAGTATTTTTCTTAGCTAATGCCAAGATCTTTTCTTGAACACCTAGTTCTTCTCTTCTTGGGGATTATTATTTTTTTTTTAAACTTATTTTCCTGATAAGGTAAATGAGAAAGCAGGTTTGTATTTTGTTGTTTGCTTTCTTTCGGAGTTTGGGCTTGGATTATGTCTGTTTTTTTGTGTTTGTTTGTTTGTTTTCGTCGCTAATTCAATTGTTTGTGTTTGTGAGGATTACTGATTTGATGTACGATTTGAGATATGTATGATTATAATGTAGAACTCGCGTTCGTGTATCTATATTTGTAATATATATTATATATATTTGTCTCTAATGCAATTCCATCCTGCTTTGCAGAATTGTGGAAATCTTCAGCCGACGACTTCAAGGTAATTTCCCTCTCTTCTGTGCTCTTGATCTGTGTGTGTGTGTGTGTGTGTGTGTGTGTGTGTGTGTGTGTGTGTGTGTGTGTGTGTGTGTGTGTGTGTGTGTGTGTGTGTGTGTGTGTGTGTGTCCTTTAGAAACTACCCAGACGCTGTTATACTCTTAATCGTGATGAGATTCCTCGCCAAGGAGAAGGACTGTCTCAGATTGTTGTGACACTTTTGGCGCTCTCTCCCCGCGCCAAATAGCGCGTGAGAAAAAACGCAAAACAAAAGCGAGCGGCGGCGGAAGAGCAATGGAGGAACGCCCCAGCGCTCGCTTGGCTTCGGAGACGGATTAGCTTTTTAAGATTAAATTCATAGAAATTCATCCAAAGCTGCAAGGGCTGTAGTCTTGTTCCTGCTCTCGCTGCCGAAATTCTGCCTCTGCCAATCACACATTGGAAACTGCAAACTGCAGACAGACAGACACACGAACGGACAAAAACAGAAAATAAATAAATAAATAAATAAAAATAAAATATATATGTTACAAGTGCAGAAACCCCTTTCATGTAAGCCCGTGTACTCGCTCAATACCTTCTGCCATAAACCTTGATATAAATTCCCTTTAAAGGTGCTTGTCTTCTCAATGTAATACCGCGTTGCATTATTGAGAGACATCGAATCATCGCGGCCGTTACTTACATGTGTATGTATGTGTATGTGTGTACTAATGTGCGTGTGTCTATCTGTGCCAGTGCATGTGTTTGTAACTACGTGTGTGTGTGTTTGACTAGTTGTTACTGTGTGGCGTGTGACTGAGTTCGTGTGTAAGTTAGTGAGTGTGTGCGTTTACATGTGCGTGCGTGTGTGTGTGTTTGCCAGATGACTGGGTAAGTGTGCGGGATTTGCTCTGGGAAAATCCCGGCTCTGATTTCCTCCTCGTCAGCGAAGCTGCAGTGAAATGCTCTGGCATTTCCTTGTGTTATCTATTGTTATCGTATATTTATTATCCATTAACACTTGCTTCTTTTGATGACGAGCACATTCTAAATTCGTGTCGCCTAATACGTTCTGAACCTCGTTTCGTCGAAATTCTAAATTCTGTCACATGGAAAGGATTTCGCAGTGATGTCCAATTCGCGTTCGGTCCAGATTGCTCTGTCATTCTGGTGAATAAAAAGGAAAAACAATAGGGGAAAATAAGACAAAGAAGCCAGCCAATAAAAGTGAAAATTCGTGAGACGACCGATAGGCGAAGATGCGAAAGTGAGGCAAACTTTAGTAAGTAAGAATAATCCAGCAAAGTTGTGGAAATGAGATGGACAGAAACTGTTAGATAAATCATACATCAGACAGCAAAGGTTAGACAGTGAGGCGAATAATGAAAGCCAGATTAGACGGCAGACCATAAGAAGTGAATATAGAGCACCATATAGCAGAAATTATTTACAAAAGGACCTGACATTAGATATGTAACCCGGTGAGACAATATGAATTATTACATATAAGGGAAGGTACATTTTATCAAGCCATTCTGCTAGATTTTTCCCTCTTTGATATGCATGCAAGACCTCATACATGCAAGCAACACATCATTGTTAAATTCCTTATATGTGAAAATCCATTACTGGAAAATAAAAATATATCGTGTATTTGCACGAGTGTGCACGTACATTCGCGTAACTCTGTGTGCAGTTTTTATATATATTCTTTTTCTTACAATGATGCTTTTGATTCAACGCCCAAACCGGACATCAGCCAAACCTAACCAACCCTGTTCTCGTCCACAGTGCAGGAGAGGTTGACGAAGCAGATTGCGCTGGCGGTCGTCGAGGCCATTCAGCCCACTGGCGTTGGTGTGGTGGTGGAGGGAACGTAAGTACGTGCGTGCGTTGGGGAGGCTGACTGCCTTTCTCTCTGCCTATGGGAGGAAGAAGCGTGTCACACACATGCATACAATCA